GCAGTCTAGACATAAGAGTTACGCCGATCGGAAGGTTCGTGATGTTGCTTTCATGGTCAGGGAGAAGGTACTACTCAAGGTGTCACCCATGAAGGGTGTTATGAGGTTTGGGAAGAAGGACAAGTTGAGCCCTCGGTATATTGGGTTGTTTGAGGTACGGATTGGAGATATGACTTACAAGCTTTCCTTGCCACCTAGTTTGTCGAGTGTGCATCCAATATTTCATGTTTTTATGCTCTGAAAGTATTTCAGTGATCCGTCTCATGTTTTGTATTTCAGCACGGTTCAGCTGGATGGTGATTTAACTTATGATGTGGAGCCGGTGGCCATTTTGGATCGGTAAGTTTGAAAGTTGAGGTCAAAGGACATAGCTTCAGTGAAGGTATAGTAGAGAGGTCATCCAGTTGAGGAGTCCACTTGAGATACCAAGTGGGAGATGCGAAGCAGATATATATGCCTTTTTAAGACTCCAGGTATGTTTCTAAACCCGTTCGAGGACGAACGTTTGTTTAAGAGGGGGAGGATGTAACGACCCTGCCGGTCGTTTTGAGAGTTATAGCCTCGTTCCCCCATTTACTGTTCATTCCCTGATTAATTGTTGTTATGGGACTTGCTGGGGTAGTTGGTTCGAGTCCGGGGAGGTTTTGGAATGAATTGAGACACTTAGTCTCAAGGTTTGAAGCTTAAGTTGAAAATATTGACTGGATGTTGACTTATGTGTAGACGACTCCGGAATGGAGTTTTTATGGTTCTGTTAGCTCCATTGGGTGATTTTGGACTTAGGAGTACGTCCGGATTGTAAATTGGAGGTCTGTAGTTGTAGTAGGCTTGAAATGGCGGAAGTTGGGCATTTAGAAGTTTGACCGAGACTTCATGGTTATCGTGCTTGGATTTGGGTTCTGAGAGTTGGAGTAGGTCCGTGGTGTCATTTGTGACTTGTGTGCAAAATCTGAGGTCAATCAGACGTGATTTGATAGGTTTCAGCATCGAATGTGGAAATTAGAAGTTCAAAGTTCATTAGGCTTGAATCGACACGTGATTCGTGATTTCAACGTTGTTTAATGTGATTTGAAGGCTCGATTGAGTTCGTGTCATATTTTAGGACTTGTTGGTATATTTGGTTAGGTCCCGGGGGCCTCGTGTAAAGTTTAGGCGATTATCGGATCAAGTTTGGAGTTAAAAGAGGTGTTGTAGCTGGAGTTTGCTGGTGCAATTGCACATGTGAAGCTTTGGTCGTAGGTGCGAGCTAAGGAAGCGCAGATGCGGCCATGAGTGAGGAATGATGTGGTCGCAGGTGTGAAGGATTGTCCGCACCTGTGTGGATGCGGAAGCGAAGGGTTTATCGCAAAAGCGAGGTTGGCTGGACTGTTAGAGGATCGCAGGTGCGAGGGAGATACCGCATCTGCGAGCCCGCATACACGTGAGTGGTTCCACATAAGCAGAGGAGCTAGAAGGGGTGTTCACTGAAGTGACCATTATTTGCGCAGGAGCGCACCCGCAGATACGGAGGCTTGACCGCAGGTGCGCGAGGTCGGGTGTGGAGTGTTTTCCACAGAAACGGATTAGTGACCGCCTAAGCTGTACTACAGAAGCAGATTTTTGGACCGCAGAAAGACTGGGCAGATTATTAAAAAGAGGGTTCCGTGGGTTTTCTTCATTTTTGAACATTCCAAGCTCGGGATTAGGCTATTTTGAGAGGTATTTCGAAGGGATTCTTGAGGTAAATCACTTGTGGTTAAATTTACTCAATAATTATGTTTCCCCGTTGATTTTCCCACCTAGATTGTGTGGTTTTGAGGTGTAATTTTGGGAGTTGAGGCTAGAGATTTGGAGAGTTTAAATTGGGGATTTGGGTGTCGATTTGGTGTTGGATTTTGGTAAATTTGGTACGGTTGGACTCGTGGTTGAATGGGCTTTTAGATTTTATGATTTTTGTTGGATTCCGAGACGTGGGACCGGGGCCGACTTTTGAGTGAACTTTTTACTTTTTGACTTTTAATTAAAAGCTTAGTAATTTCATGCGAAATTGATTTCTTTAGCTCATGTTGATTGTATCGAACTGTTTGTGACTAGATTCAGGGCATTTTGAGGTCGTTTCACGAGGCAAGGGCTTGTTGGAGTATAGTTTCGCACAGTTTGAGGTAAGTAACACTTCTAAACTTGGTTCTGAGAGTATAAAACCCCGAATTTCGTGTCATGTGATTAGTGTTGAGGTGACGGATGTGCTAGGTGACGTGCATGTAGGCGTGCACCGTAAAAATTGTGACTCGATCGATTCCATGGAACTGAATAGTTGATTAAGCTTGTTGTTACCCGTATTTTACCATGTGAATAGAATAATTGAGCTGTCAATCATGTTAGAAATCCCGTTTAGGATACATGTTGAACTATTTGCTTAACTTGCCATTTTATACTCAATCACAACTATTGTTTGCATAATATGTCTCAGTCTCTGTTGTCCTTATTTGCTACGTCATATCATTATTGTTTGTGCTAAATAACATAATTTTGGTGAGCCCGAGAGATTAGAAAGATTAGTGACTGAGCGAGACTGAGGGTTATTGTGAGTGTTATTTATGGGATCGGGCTGCACGCCGCAATATGCCTTATTGATTGATGCCACGATTTGGCTTATTATAGCGTTTGGGCTGGATCGGCCTCTCCGGAGTCTGCACATCCACAGTAGGCGCAATTGCTAGCAGTTATTTACATTTGGGCTGGATCTGCCCTGGTTTATTTGCATTTGGGCTGGATCTGTCCTGGTTTACTTGCATTTGGACTGGATCTGCCCTATTCTGTGATGAGTTTTATTGCAAATCTAAAAGCATGTCTAAATTCTTGTACCTCTACCTGTTAAATTATGAATTTCTAGGATATCACTGTCATAATTTATGTAACTTTCCGTGCTGTTAAATGTTGAAAGTGAACTGTAATAATTGGACTCGTCACTACTTTCAGTCCAAAGGTTAGATTTATTACTTATTGAGTTGGTTGTACTCATGCTACACCTTACACCTTGTGTGCAGATTCAGGTAATTCCGGTCACGGCTATTGCTGATTTTGCAGAGTCCAGACCTTCAGAGATCATCGAGGTAGCTGCTTGGCATTTGCAGACCTTGACTCTCCTCCCTTATCTTTTAGTTTATTTATTCAGATTTACTTTCTAGACAGTGTACCCGTCTTTGTCATTTCGTAGATGTTCATATACTCAGTGGCACCCCGGTTTTTGGAAGAATTTATGTATTGAGTTATGATTTCCTATCCTATTTTAAGAGATTTTCCTTTATTTAAACTATTTTAGTATCTTTTAAAGATTTAAAATGTTGAAAATGTCTAAATAGTCGGATTTCCTAGTATCATGATAGGCATCATCACGACGGGTTAGTTTTGGGTCGTGACAGGTCGGCGGTGAGGCGACACTGGAGGTGGTCGGAAAATTTATCGTTGGAGTTTCGGGATGAGATTGACATCAATAAGTAGACCTTGAGGAGCTCTATCCATTGACGTAGGTATTATAGCATGAGGCGATCTAGAACTTCACGAATTTGAGAAAAAAATGGGTGACTATGGTTTCAACTTTTGCTAGATTCGTGGAGATTGAGAGGGAGTTTGAGGATTTGGGGTCTGGATTGGCGTAGAGAATAAAGAGAGGAAGAGAATGGTGTAAAAATAGGGTGATTTGGTGGAGCTCCGCTGGCGGAGGACGGCAGGTCTGAGGGAGAGGGGATAGGGTGTGGAGAAAGAGAAGAGAAGGGGAGAGATAAGGGAAAATGAGGGCAATATTTGGCTAACCTAGGCTTTAAATACCTAGGATGACAAATGATGAGAGCTGTTGGATCAAGGAGAGATGAAGGGATGGGATTCGATCTAGCTTCATTTATCAAAACGACGTCGTTTTGGGCGTCTTTCAGACCACATGGTTTGGACCGGGTCCTAGGCTCGAATTTGTGGGCTAGTTTTGGCCCAATTCGGCTAAATAAAGTATCAACCCAATCCTTTAACCCCTTATCAAATATTTTAACTATAATCTAATTCAAAAACTTATAAATACACACATAATAATTATTTAAAATATAATGTAAAAGAAAAAATAAAAATTAGGCATTTACAACTGGTACGAAGTAGAAGTATGCTTAACTACCTCCTAACCTACAACCCTAATGCTCGACCTCCACAGCTTCCTATCAAGGGTCATGTCCTTGAAAATCTGAAGCCACGCCATGTCCTGCCTGATCACCTCTCCCTAATACTTCTTAGGCCGCCCTCTACCTCTTCTCGTACCTACCAAAGCCAACCGCTCACACCTCTTTACCGGAGCATCTGGGCTTCTCCTCTGTACGTGCCCGAACTATCTAAGTCTCGATTTCCGCATCTTGTCATCCATGGGAGCCACACCCACCTTCTCCCGAATATCCTCATTCCTAATCTTATCCATCATAGTGTGCCCGCATATCCATCTCAACATCATCATTTCTGTTACTTTCATCTTTTGGATATGTGAGCTCTTAACTGGCCAACACTCAGCCCCATATAACATGGCCGGTCTAACCACTGCTCTATAAAACTTATCTTTGAGTATTAGTGACACTTTCTTATCACATCAGACACCAGATGCTAACCTCCATTTCATCTACCCCACCCTATACGGTATGTGATATCCTCGTCGATCTCCACATACCCCTTGGATAACCGACCCAAGGTACTTGAAACTGCCTCTCTTGGGGATGACCTGTGATTCAAGTCTCACGTCCATGCCCGCTTCCCTCGGCTCGGTGTTGAGCTTGCACTCCAGGTATTCTGTTTTAATCCTGCTCAACTTGAAACCCTTAGACTCAAGGGTCTGTCTCTAAACCTCCAACATCTTGTTAACGTCGCCTCGCGTCTAATCAATCAGAACTATGTCGTCAACGAATAACATACACCATGACACCTCCCCTTGAATATGGTCAGTGCGTCCATCACAGGACAAATAAGAGGGGCTAAGCACATATCCTTGGTGTAGCCCATAACATGCAAAATCTAGTGTTAAGTGAAATTAAGCCTAGATTTTGCATGTTATGCAAATGAAGTGAGTTGCCAGAATGATAACTGCTAGTTTGGGATCGTAGTTATATATTCTGGCATTTTTTTCTTGAATCTTGATATAAACATAATTGAGGTGTTTTTACGTTATAAAATTAGTTATGACATTGCCGCGATAAACAAAAGTTAGGTGATATTCTAAGACGCAAATTTCGCCGGGCAATTCCGGAAACAGGGAAAATAGTGAAACGAGCCGTTATTAAATTCGGATCCTGGTATAGCATAGTTGGGACCCGAGAAGCTTGACCTTTTTCTCATGGTATAGGCAGCTTCACTTCACAACTCTCCGTGACTTTGGTCCGCTGATTTACACGTTAATCACCGAAAGCAAGGTGAAAAAGGATACAAATTCACAATGGCGAGGAGACGGTTGTTGCTTTTATTAAAGCCTTTCGATGTGTTACCGACAAACCAATCAGATAACATTTTTCATTTCAGAAACCCTAAGGTAATCTCACATAGTTAAAGTAACTTATGTTTTACCGTCTTTTCTTTCTCTGTTGTTGCTACATTTGTTAAAAGCTCAGGAAATGTCTGCAGGATCATGGGGTAACTCGTTCTAATTAGTACGTGTATTTTAAGTGTTTGATAATATGCCAAAGCCAGTTATATGCCTATTTCTTCATTCAAACTTATGTACCTCCTGGTGCAACCATGGTGATTGCTTAGAGCTCCTCTTTACTATATGCATTTGTACTAGTTAAGGCAATGGACACAGCTAGCCCGCTCAGTGGTGTTTTCGGTTCAGTGGTGGAGCTACAGTGGCCAAAGGGTGGTCAGTTGAACACCCCTCGCTTGTGTATACATGTCAAATTTTACTTTTTATACATACATATTAATTTGAACCCCTTGATGCAATCGAGAGAGGTAGCCTAGTGGCGAAGGGTGTTTAAAGTGACTTGAAAAGTCGCATTCGTTTTGGTCTGTTCGACTTTGTATAATTAAAAATTGGGCAATAAATAGATCCCTAATAAGTCAAGATTTTCTAAAATGTCTCAAAGAAAGAGAAAGCAGAACTAGAAGAACGCCATTTACTCTTGTTTGAAAGTGGTACTTCCTAGATATTTTATCGATTGTTACTTGCATAATTAGTTACGTGTTAGAGCTTGAAACTTTGAAGTATTCAAGCAACTGAATGATAGCATCAGGCTGATTCTGATAGTTACCATGTCTTGACCACTGACCAGATAATGTGTTATTGAATTTAGAATAGCTCTCAACTCTTGAGACTCTTTGACCAATAATAACTAGCAGATGATTTGCATTCCAATCATTTTGAACATGACAGTCATTTTTACATGTTATTTGACAAATATTTGAAGTCCCTAATGACTGGCGTATGCCTCAATTCTTAAAGTCTGCTGCTTCAGTAGGGTGAGACTTCTTCGCATGAAGTTATTGCAGGTACTAAAATATCTAGACAATAGACGTCTGGTTCACAAGGAGGCTATAAAATTCTGTCAGAACATCTTGAGGAAAAAGCTTGTTGACTGGGAAGCTGTTTATCGTTTTAATCTATCTCGGCCGATCCGTGATGTAGATTTAGTAGTTACAATAGGAGGAGATGGTACATTATTGCAGGCAAGCCATTTTGTGGATAATTCGATTCCTGTTCTAGGAGTAAATTCTGACCCAACTCAAGCAAAAGAGGTTAGCTCATTCTGCAATTTTTAATGGTTTGTGGCAATCAATTTCTTCACAATCCATATTCAGTTCTGTCTACGATGACTTCTATTGCAAGTCACTATGTCACTTTTTATGTGGTTTAGGTTGAAGAATACAGTGAAGAGTTTGACGCTTCAAGGAGTACAGGATTTCTTTGTGCGGCAACTATCAAGAACTTTGAACAAGTGAGACTTTGTTACTTATTCTTTAAGCTTTCTCATAAATATACTAATGACTTTGTATGATTGCCCGTGATTAGTTTGATGTGCTAAAATACTATTGAATATTAACACAACAACAACAACAACCCGGTGAAATCCCACAAGTGGGGTCTGGGGAGGGTAGTGTGTACGCATACCTTACCCCTACTCCGGAGGAGTAGAGAGGCTGTTTCCGATTGACTCTCGGCACAAGGAGATGGAACGAGACTATGCAGCAGTAACAGCAAAAGAAACCAGAAAGATAACACCACCAACACAATAACCGGGAAATAGAGAGGAAAGCAATAACACTAAGCAGTAATAATGGCATAGTACTACAGACGCAATGGAGTAATATGGACACACCAAGAGCCACTAACATCCTAAGGCAAATCACTACCAGACTAGCTTCCTACAATACTATTGAATATTAACACGTCAGAGTAAATTCAAGTGTATGCTTATTGATATAATTATAGGGTTCTGTGGAGATGGTTGGTTTTCTGGTCATCGTGGTGCCTAAAGTTTGTTTTTAGTTACTCTTGCTATCGCCAGTGAGACTTGACTCTAGTGGCAAAGCAGAGCCCATAACCTTGAGGTGTAGGGTGACTTGTTCTATTTATGTTCTTTTCTGTGTGCATGGATGATTTTATGGAACTGTCTGGAATTATATCACGTTCAATTACTTTGTCCTTATTTGTTTTAAGGTTCTCTCGTACTGGATCACACTTTTAAAAGAGCAAAAAGTTACTTTTGTTCTCTACATTCCAATTCTGCATTGAAGTTTCCAAGAGATCCTGTTCTTTTATGTAATGGTTTGTTACCACTAGCTAAGAAAGCTTACTACGGGTGAAAGATTAGTTCTTTGAACTACAGTAGGGGAACTCTTGGGAAGAAACTAAAGATTGAAGTAAAGTAATTACTGGTCTTCAAAAACTATGTCCATGGATCATCTTTTGAACTAACTAAGTAACTTCACACACTTCAGTTATTATGTCCGTAACCTGCAAACCTGGAGCATAGAAACTTGTTTATTTCAGAATGCCACAGAGTAACGTGCATGGGGATCAAAAGCGCAAATTGTTGTTCCAAAAATCATGAAACAGTCTGCTCAACACAGTGATGTCCCTAGATATCTTCTAGTTGTATCATGGTTGTGTTTTTTGTTTTAGTAGGGGGCTAAGCTGACACTATTTATTGTTAACCATCTCTTTTTACGATGACTTGCTCCAGCTTGGGTATTGTTAGTTTCTTCTCATGTGGAGTTAATGTATATAAAAGGGGTGACTCCCAACACAAATTAATCATTCATGCTCAGAGAAAGCAAATTCACTTTCAGGTAGGAACATAGCTTTTTCATTCTCATGCTGCCACAACTCTTGCTTTACGATCTTTTTTCTCTTGTAGGAATGGGGGGTTTAATTTTTAAAAGGTGCTCAAGGTCTTAACTATTAGTCCTCTGTTGCAGATAATAGATGACATCCTTGAAAATCGTGCTAGACCTTTTGAAGTCTCAAGGATGTCAGTCACTCTCAACTCAAAGGAACTGACGCCTTACGCACTTAATGATGTTTTGATTGCTCATCCTTGTCCTGCTACAGTTTCCCGATTCTCATTCAGGTAAATGTTTTGTTTGTTGTAGCATATGAAGCATACTTCCCTTCTATGCTGCTTTGGAAAGGTGCTTAATGATGTTTTCTCTTCACAGAACAAAGAAAGAGGACCAGTCTTGTTCTTCTCTGGTGCATTGCAGATCAAGTGGACTTAGAGTGTCAACAGCCGCTGGGTCAACAGCTGCAATGCTTTCAGCAGGTGGATTTGCAATGCCAATTTTATCCAAAGATCTCCAGTATATAGTGAGAGAACCCATTGCTCCTGGAGCTTACAATAGCCTGATGCACGGCATTGTGAAGCCTGAGGAGTTGATGGAAATTGCATGGTATTGCAAAGAGGGGCTGATTTATATTGATGGCTCTCATCTTGTCCACTCTGTTCAATATGGGGATATCATTGAACTCTCTTCCAACGCTCCAAAATTGAAAGTTTTCTTGCCATCCCACTTGATATCTTGAGAGCACAAACATATAGAATTGAGTTCTTGTAAATTTGATTGCATGAAGGTGTAAAGGTCGGTCAGAATCTCCTTTAACTCTTGTAGCCTTTTGTGCTGGTGCACAATGCTAGATGGTGGTAGCTTTACTTTTTCACAGCTCAAAAGCTGCAGGGAAGATGGTTGTGCGCTAGGCTTCTACCCTCTAGACATGTAACTCCTGATTAATTGAACTTAAAAGAGGAAGAAGCTGTCAGCTGTGCATCATGCTTCAAAGTAGTCCGAATCAATACAAGAGAGGTAGTTTCAGGTTGAAGAAGCTTATATCCTGAAAGCATTGTTGTAGACTTTTAGTATGAACATTGAGGCATTAGAATTGTGCCCTCCTTAGGGAAGGGTGTTGTTGACGTTTGTCTAGGTTTGGAATTACACACACACACACATGCCTCAATGTTTCCCAGGGAATGAGGCTAAAAAAGCTTTGCAGATAAGTTATGCGAGGATTATTCACTGTGAAAATGTTATTGGATAAATTTTCAGGACTAAAAGGAAATTTAGCAGTGTAAGAATATCGGTAACACTTTTGTTCCCACGATGCTACTAACTCTTCTTCAGATAAAAAATGAATTCACTGCTTCTGACAATCACACGCAGGCCAGTGAAGGATCAGTAAAGTAGGATGCTATTGAATAATAGTGGTATAAAGTAACAAGGTACTGTATTTAGGTTGGCGCACTAAATTGTCTGTCGGCCTCATCAAAGTTATCGCCCTCCACACGCTAAGAATCGAATCCATTTAGAAAGGAGAATTCAGATATTACAAATGAGACTTCTATACTATGTTTCAGACGAGAGCTTTTAAGTTAATAATATCTCCTTACAATTATAATAAACTGTTTCAAAGTTTTTTGGATTATGTTTATAGGAAAATGGTTATTTATGATGAATATACAGAAAGAAGAAATTCAGGGACATATATTTCAATTGACTTTCAAAATTAAATATAACTTTTAAAGGAAACCAAAACCTCGACCTGTCAAACCCAAGTCCACAACTTCTTATGCCAAACACGCACAACCCTGTTATTGCAATGATTGATTATTAAGTCAGACATTATAAACTTGCAATCTTTGTTTTAAGTTCCGAAAAAGAAAAACTTTCAAAGATGCCAGAGATAAAAATACTTTAATGGATATTATTGTTGCTAGAGGATGATATTTATATCAAAATCCCCAATTAAAACCAAACACTTCGGTTACAAAAATCACGTGGCACTATAAAATCTCCTTACAAATCCAACTCAGCGGGTCACCAGCCTAAACCCGACACGTTCTCTCTAACACAGCCATTTCTTTTTTCCCAAACTATCACAAAGCAACCATACAAATACTAAAAAATCCAAAACTGAAAATTCCATTTCCCTACTTGGTAGAACCCCACTGTAGAGGGATAGGTATTCTCACAGTTATTCGGTTTTCATTTACTGCCTAAACCCACCACCTCGGTCCCCCTGTAAAACCCACTTGCAGTTGCAGTTGCAGCTGCAGATCTTTTCATTTTTTGTCACTACTTAGCATAGATCTTTCTAGTTTTCTGAACAGAAAGAGGTAATGAAGATTCAGTGTAACGTTTGTGAGGTTGCGGAGGCGAACGTCTTGTGCTGCGCCGACGAGGCGGCGCTGTGCTGGTCCTGTGATGAGAAGGTTCATGCTGCTAATAAGCTGGCTAGTAAGCACCAGAGAGTTCCTCTCACTGGTTCTTCTTCTTCCATGCCTAAGTGTGACATCTGCCAGGTAATATATATTCAACTTTCCTTTTTCTTCATGTATTTACACATCTTCTAATTGAAAGGATTCTGTGAATATTGTAATTCCTCGAGTGTACAGAATTCAACATCTGTTATTTTGACTTCTATATTTCTTGTAGCATCAATTAATCATAGATTAAGTCGAGGTCTTTGACTTATTTTTACAAATATCTTCTACTTAAGATTAGTTTAATAGAAATACCGGTATTTATTTATTAAATTTTATGACTCAGAGGACAGCGATGTTTTGGTTGATTGACACTACTATTATATAAGTAAGTCTTATATTGTGACTGCTGCTGCACTAACTTCGAATTTTTTGTTTTCTGGAATCATATGTAAGTAAAGTTAATATCTAGGTGCCAATCTTATTTTATTGGAAGGTAGCCAGCCGGTGCCTGATGGAATAGTCGAGGTGGCCCCGACAACATCGTCATTAGAAAAAAAAGGAAGAGAAAGAACAAAATAAAGAAAGGAGATCCGGGGTATTCTTTCCCGCAACCTGCCAGGGAGTGGTTAGGGCGATCCTCCAGATGTTGTGCACTGATAGACATATGGAGGTCTAAGTTAAAATTTCCTGCCATCTTGATTGGTTATGGTTCCACCGAATGCTGCTGATTCGTGGAACTTAATGTAGGATATGGTTCGCATATGGCATTTGGAGAGCTTGTCTGGAGCTTCTTAGTGTTGAACTATGGTGTACCTGTTTTGTTTATTTGGCAGTCCCTTTAGTGAGATATTAAGAAACAGAAACATTAATCTGGAGTCTTGGCATAACCTGTTTTCCAGTTCATAACTATGAATATTTATAGACGGAAAACTATGTGGTTAGCTCTTGCAACCCACACCTCTTGTCTAGGGGAATGCACTTCTCAAAATATATAAATAAAAGGAAAAGAGAAAAAACCTCTTCTCTAAAGGGGATATAACTCCATGTTAAGAAAAACGTATAGAAGCTCAATTAATGGTTGAAAGCTTAAGATCGCATACGATTTAATGAGCCTGTTGGGATATGTAATGCTCATGCAATCATTTGTTCCTATAACTTCTCTTCTAGAGAAGATCATGTGCTCATCATATAAAATCATGAACATCACCGAGCTTTTACTCTATTGTAACTGCAGATGTTTAATCACCTTCAGGATTTTGTTTTAGTTAGTTGAATATCGTACAGTCATATGAGGCAGAAGTTACCCATTTGACTTAGCAAAAGTGATTTCATTTTCTTTTCTGGAGTTGATTTGACTGGCTAAGGTTTCTGTTTACCTTTCCCTTTGTGGAGCCAAAGCAGATATGTTTCCTCATGTTTATCAGATTTTGCTACTTTCTAATGAAAGTCCTCCTCTTCTGTGCTTCAGTATATTTTTAGATGTACATAACCTATGTTTGTCTATCTGTAATTGATGTATTATCTCAGTTTTACTACTGTTTAACTATTTTAAATATTGATAAAAGGATCCTATTTGTGCAGGAAGCAGTTGGCTATTTCTTTTGTCTCGAGGATCGGGCTTTACTTTGCCGAAAATGTGATATTGCTATTCACACAGCTAATCCTCATGTCTCAGCTCACCAAAGATTTTTTCTGACTGGAGTGAAAGTAGGACTTGAACCTGTTGATCCTGGTGGTGCGTCATCCTCAGGGACGTCACAGTCCATTCAGAAGGTTTCAGAGGCAGAGTCTGCTCCACTTTCTAAACGAAATGCCCCAATATCGTTGGATGCTCAATTTAACAAAGTATTACCTCCCCAGGCAAGTGGTCTTGGGGATTTTGCTCCTAGTAAGTCTGCATTTGCTGGAGGTTCTGCAGCTGGAAGTATTCCGCAATGGCAGTTTGATGAATTTATTGGCCTGAACGATTTCAATCAGAATTATGGATACATGGATGATGGATCATCTAGGGTACGTTTTTAAGTCTTAGCTTTTGTTGTTTGTTGTATATACAATGGATATTAGAAGAATTTCTTGGACTGCATTTCAATCAGAAGTATGCGTACAATGGATGACTGATCATCTGAGGTATGATTTAGATCTTATTTCATTATTTATTCTTTTAGTAGTTCGCCTTTTTTTTTAATTATCTCCTTCACTAGACTTGGTTGTACTGGACTAATCATCTAAACGTGAGAAATCCCTAATCTTGTGCGGTCGTGTGGCATGCGAGCTCTGTTATGTGTACTTCAGGGTTTAAGTTGTGTACATGTATTTGCCCCAACAAGGAACCTAGAAAAACATCTTTTTATCTGAAGACATGAAACTGGAAAAAAATGAGCTGTGTGGTTGGACTATCTGTTGGTTGGACCACTTTAGGCGGAATCGACATTGTTAGCCCCCAATTCAATCTTTTAATTGTACAGATACATTGCCACAAACTTGCCCTTCCCCTGTCATATGGCAAACACTTAGGTGCTAAAGATCTTTAGAGTATTGCCATATTGGTGGACTTGCACTTTGCCAACTAATCCATGGGATCTCGAATGCTTGGAATTCTGAGTCTTGATTAGGGTTCAATATAGACAGTCAAAGCGCAGGGTTCAATATGGACAGTCAAGGCGCAGCATCAATATTAGAATGTGTCCGGATTAATAACCTTGCTTAGGGTTGTGATTTTAAGAAGCAGCTTTAGCTATTACGTCGTGCTCTTCTTTTTTTTTTTTGGCTACAAAAAATATGCCTCTAGGTGTCAATCACATTATTTTTTTCTATGGGTGCTTAGTTGTTAAAGAAACATTTCCGACCATATATTTTCTAAATATGACTAGTCAAAAGTGGTGATTCATGTTGGTGAAGGTATTTTATTGAAGAGTTTGACAACATTGTTTTTGACTGTAAATGGTGGCTCATGTGTTTCACCATCACTTGACTTAGACAAGACTGGCGTAACCCAAGCAGACTGGGTTCTATCTTCATTTATGATTTTTGCTCTGTTTCAACTATGTTTCATTTTCCCAAAGGAAATTTTCAGTCTATCTCTTACCTCTTTGCCAAAGTTGAATGCTTAGATAAATAGATAATCTGTTCAATGGACTATCAATAAGTTGCACAGGATTATGTTCAATAATCAGAGTGGCTCCTAATTTAGTTCTTCTTGCATTGAAATCTATCAGGCGGATAATGGGAAACTTGGAGAGTCAGACTCTTCGTCTATCTTGAGATTTGAAGATGAAGAACTAGACGGTGATGAGTGCCTGGGTCAGGTTCCAGACACATCTTGGGCAGTGCCACAAGTACCTTCCCCACCTACGGCCTCTGGACTTTACTGGCCCAAAACTTACCAGAATCCGTTTGATTGCTCAATGTTTGTGCCTGACATTAGTTACTCCCCTTCGCATAACCTTCAACAGCGACCTCCAAGTGGTACTAGTCTGAAACGAAGAAGGCAGTGTTAATGCATTTTCCCCAAGCTTTTCAACTCACATTAGTGATAGGTGTTTCAGATCCCTAAGCTTTTCACTCACGTTAGTGATAGGTGTTTAGATAGAGTGATTTGTGGTAGTTGAAGTTTGAGTTGAAGTTATTTGAGCAATGACTCATGTGTGTTTCTCCTTTGTAAGTAATCTGCCTTGTTTGCTGCAGTTACATAGAACTCACATTAATGTCAAAAGTATATTAGTTCTACTCCAATCCCCAGAAGTTGTACAAGAAATGAAAATGTTTCTCAAGATCACTGTAGACTGTATTCCAACAATTTGGAACCAAAGAAAAATGGTTGTTGCTCGCATCTTTCAAATGACTCTTGGTAGGGATGGAGGAGCTGTTTAAACTTCAGGAGATTGTGTTTTAACTCCATTATAACAGTTAAAAGGTGCTTCCTTCAATCCATCCATGGTAATCTTGTTTTATTCTTTAGAATGCAATGAGGGTGGATTTGAATCATACTTTTGCTTCTTTTTTTTTCTTTTGTGGGGGGGCACTTGGTGCTATTAAGAACAATTTGAACTTTGGAACATGTATCCAGATTATTGATTTTATTGCAGAATGACACCACGGTTTGTGGTGGCCGTTTGTTTTTCCTTTTGAGAAGAAATTTGAGCGGTTACCGACCCAGCGAGAGCTACTATATTCCATTTTTATTTCTCTTCTCCATTGGTTGTTGGAGGCTAACCCAGCAGACAGTGCTAAAATTGTTCAGTGTTATGTAGTGAAATATATATCCTATGCAGTTCAGTAATAGAATTTTGGACTTGTGGTACTACAAATATTGATTGACGATAATTTCAGCAGATTCAATAGTTGTACGCATATGTTCCATGATTTGCTCAATGAAATTTGAACGGGAAAACAAGAGGAGGTTTCAAGAGTCCCTTCCTAAAATGTAGTAACAATGACATTTTAATTTTTGAACTAGTTTCAATGTCCATTCTACTCCTAGTTCCTTGCAAAACTTGGATGTTACTGGATCTTCCCACTTTCTAACTTCTACGTTGTGTTTTTTTCCATCTCTAGCAGTTCCATATTAGTTTGTTTTACTCCGATTGATCGGTTGAGATGGTTAGCACGAAGCAAACTGATTCTCATGACTGAAAGATTTGATCAAAAGTGACTAAAGAGGAAGATTAGCAAAGCAGGAAAAGAAAGAGGAATGGGAGCAACATCTTATTATCTTTGCCAGAACTTTCAGATCATAGAAGCATTTAAGCTTGCTGGATATCGTTCTGTGAAATCAAATTCAGTGGATCAAGTAATAAGTGGTCGAAATGAACAGGCAGCTCACTGGTACCTACCAATTATTGTAAGAGCTATAAAAAGCTTTACAGTTTGGTCCCCTACATTAACACATGCGTTGCTTAGTCTCGCACTGGAGAAATTTGCAAAGTTGGGCTAAAATTGGGGTCTACCCCTGCTAACTTGGTAACAGCTATTAGTAATAGACTTCTTTGACTAGACAATATATATATATATATATATATATATATATATATATATAAATAAAGAGTTTAACTTTTATATCGTAATAGTGTCGGATCAACCTAAAAGATAGTAAAGCATAACAACTGAAATATTTTGATAGTGAAAAATTATTTCCACAATCACTACATATAAGTTAAATCCAGGCTCCATGTCCGAAACAGAAGCAAGAAAATTGGCTTTGCTTAGAGCAGTAGATTGGAAGTATTTCGTAATGGCATAGTCCGAATGGCCTTATTTTGCTGATAATATAAATTATTCTTTAGAAGCTTTAAAAAGACTTTAGAAAAATAAACGTGCTAGCCTTTTACTTTACGAATCTTATAAATTAGTTGTGGTTGCCCATCCAGTGCCAGGGAGCCATTTTCCTTTTCTTTTTTTTGGGTCACTTCAATTGTACGTAATTTATTATTCGTCAGGGACATTGTGCCCTCCCATTAATGTATGCCTGCAATATTGACTTAGTAGACCTCGAAAACCTCAAAATAATTAACAGTTCACAACTTCACTGCAACCAATAAATTTGTAGCACGGAAAACAAAATTTAAAGGGGAAATAAATAAAATATTCCTGAGAATTTGTGAAAACTATGCATTCAAATTTCAAATTTAAGCATGGAATTGCTCAAACTGAATTCATTGCCTACAGTACTAAGTATAACCTCTCTTTCAAACAAACACAGCAGAACAGAACCCTATACAAATTAATTTACAGAACTCAACTCATCACTCAGAGACACTTGTTATTCACTCTTTTAAGGATAATAATAATCAGTCAAATTTTTTGATCAGGAGAAAACTGAAATGAAATTGAAGAAATTCTACTTGTAATAGTGTCTAAAATTTCAGAAGCAGAGGGCCTAAGGCTTGGTGAATCACCTAGGCATAATCCTGCTAGTGAAACCATAGACTTAGCTTCTTCTAAATCATAAGCTCCGTTAAGTCTTGAATCCACCATTTCTGCTACCTTAGTTGCATCCCTTAATATATTACCAGCTTTTGATATTAGCCTTTCTCCACTATCAGAGGAAAGTGCTTCAAACCCAGATATTAATTCCAAAATAATTATACCAAAGCTGTATATATCATTCTTTTTTGAGGCAATGCCAGTTCTTAAATAGTGAGGATCTGTATAACCTGGAGAACCAAGCATCATACGATTCGTCGACGAATTTGGTGGCAAAATTGTTGAAGAAAATCCCATTTTTGCTGACCCAAAATCACATAACTTGCAATTGAATTTCTTGTCAAGTAACACATTTGAAGCTTTTATATCACCATGTACTATAGGGAGTGTACACTTATCATGTAAATATTCAATAGCTTTAGCAAGTTGAAATGCTATAGCTATACGATTTTTCCATGACATTTTTCTAGCATCAATACCGTGTAACTTCTCCTGTAAAGTCCCATTTGAAACATACTCAAATACCAACATCCCTTCTTCTCCATTATCACAGTAACCAAGAAATTTGACTATGTTTTCGTGTTGGATTTGAAGCAAAATATCCAATTCTTGCTTGTAAACTTTCTGAAAACGTTCACTGCTTAGGTCTATTATTTTAACAGCCCCAAGCAGTGAATCAGGAAATTGTGCTAAATAAACTGTGCTAAATCCCCCATAAGCAATTAACCTAGACCGTGACAAATTCATAGTAAATTTCTCCACCTCATCACACGTAAATCTCCTCACACCAAACTTTTTTAAGCAGTCCTTATTTTCCTCTTCATCCCCTGCAACCTTAGAATCAAGAACTACGCTCCGTCGCTTTAACTTGAACCCTAAGCACTTGAATAAAGCCATGACACAAAAGAAAACAAAGAGCAAAATACCCAAAGTAGCACTAGTTGAAATTATAACTCTGTTGTATTTCTGATTATAAAGGGGTGGTACTGCCGTCGGTGGAGTGGCTAAAGGTTGTGAAGCAACGGGGAAAGAAGAGGAAGTCCAAAAGAAAAATGTAAAGAAATAGTAGTAATACGAAGGGAAAGAGCAGCAACTACTACTTAACAAAGAACCCCACCACCCACAGACAAATGGACTATTTCCAAGACTAAACTCGTTTGTATTTGAAACTTTCTTCGCCTTTGACAATTTATTACTCTTACCAATGTTGGATGGTGAGGCTTCCATGGGGAAACAACAATATCCAAGAGGGGTTGGATTTTATTCCAAAACCAGAAATCCATCTATACAGATAAAAATAAATAAAGAGTACCCATTAATAGAGTAGGAATAATAAAAGTGGGAATATGAATAGTTTATTAGGTTTATAACCATGGAGGCATGGACGGGCAAGTGGTAAGGCAACGCTTAATTAAATTTGGGTGTTTAATATAATGATCAATTGTACTCCTTCATGCCTTTTTTTTGTGTGTGTTTTAAGATTAAAAAATTACTTAATAGCATTAATTATAAGGATTAATTGATTAAGTTAACCTTTATCTCTTTTGCAAAAACTTTTCTGGGAATTGTAAGACTTTTTTTTTCAACGACCGAAAATCGTAAGGCTAATAGGTTTTTCTAGAAAAATTGTATAGATTATTCATACCTAGATACCACAAAGAGTGTTTGTCCATTAAGACACTAGGATAGTAATCATAAAATTGAGATTTGCTAAAAAATATGTAACAACTCACTTGTTACATCAACTAGCCCCAAAATGATGCTTAGGGCAGGTGCCAGGCCCCAATCAGTAGGAGGGTATAATAGTCACTGCAAAACCTTGGGCATGAGCCTGTGGAGAACGGCTGATGTTGTAAGGATAAAAGGTAGGTTCGTGCACAAAATATTCCGTGTTCATGCATGAAACGAGGAAGACCCAAGAGATGTGATATAGGTAGTCGTCTATCTTGATGCAACCATAATGGATGATTTCATGACTCGATCCGTAACTTATAGGCCACACATAGACAACTTGACCCTTGCACAGAGGCTTTACTTCGATGTTGTAAGGATCGATTTGAGAAAAAAAATAATGTCTTTGTGCAATTATTTTAAATCAAATTTATTAAGTTAAACGACAAATAAAAAGTAGTAGTACTCATGATTAAATCAACATCGGTGGAATAATATAAAAGAGGGAAATGAATAGTTCAAGTTTATATAAAACGTGAAGGGGTGACTAGAAAGGCGACACTTGATTAGATTAGAGTAATTATTATTATTATTATTAATGATATAAATTGTAGTTAGTACATAGTTTTCAGGGGGTAAGTAAAATAAATGAAAAAGTCTATACAAGGCATGAAGAATTGAAGATAGGCGAAGGGAAGATGAGTAGTACTCTCTTTAGTGGTCAACTCAGTCTAATAGTGACATTTCAACCGGCTGTTAGCTACTATCTTCTTTCCATTCTATGCAGGTGGGTCCCCTTTTGTATTCCACGTGTGTATTTGGACATTATAAGATCCGTAAATCTTAGTTTATTTTTGAATTTTCCATTTCTTTATGGTTGGTAGCCCGTGAGTAGTGGCAAATGTCCGATGTTAGAGGCGAAACAAGTACAAGAGGATTTAAAAAGGATTTAAGTGATATAAAATAATAGTATAAAGATTTACTTATATTGGCAATAATTTTTAATATGTGATATGGGTTAGTTATCATTATTATTAGATGATTAATTCATGCTCATCAAAAGTTTACATATAATCATCTACTAATAAATGACATCTTTGTATATATACTGTAAATAGAGAACTTAAACTCTTCGAAAGAAATACTAGAAAGCCACAATATTAGAATCTTTTCTTATGTTAAAGGATTTAACGATTACATATGACCAAAACTTATGCAGAACGATTTTTCGGGATAAAAGATGTAATTGAACCCCTTGCCTCCACCTAACTTTATTCCCCTTGGTGCACCGTCATACTTTTTTTCATGTGTTTACAATGGTAGTGTCTTGAGCAAGATTTCACACACCTTGATTTTTACAATGAATGTATCAGCAATTTTTACTAGTATAGATACCCAGTAACTTTTTTCAATAAAACTTTGACAGATAAAAAAATTTATATTATTTTTTATTTTAGTTGGGATTTGAATCTTAATCACCAAAATCTATACATTTAAATTTATCACTGAATCAAGGACTTGAACCTAACGGACTCAATCTTTAAGATTGTCATTCATTACAATTTTAAGATTACAAGTTAATTCTTTAAATTTTATTAGCTTATTACATGTATATCTACACTTTATGTCAAAAATGATATATGGTTTAACTAAACCTATCAAATCCATGGTCCATTCACCTCTTTGTAATCATTGCATTAGACTTGAACAACATATATAAGAGAAAAAAGTTTTCGTGAATAGTGGCAGCGGCGCACGCATTTTTAGAGGTGTCGGTGAACTTACTATCGAACGACCTACATATATAGTGTACAATTTAAAAAGTATTCCATATTTATACGATAATTCATATTTAATGAGTAGTGAATACTGTATTATTTAGTAATCAATGTTTTAACATCCTAAATCCGACTACCCTGAAGTCAAGATTTTAATGTGAAGTTGTAAGTGGTGAATGCAATTTCAATGCTACTAAGAATAATGAGAAGATTAAATTATTCGAACTTTTTAATATCTTGATCTTTTATTTATCTAATTTTCATCATTGAGGCACCAACCAAATCAAGAGGACTCAACGAATCCTGACAAACATCCCGCGTACGATATTAGAAGTAATGGATTAGGTGTTGTACAAGCGAGGAAAAAACCATACACTGAATTCTTCCTATTTTTTCCCTTTATTTTCTTTTTGGGTTGTTGGATAAACGAAAAGAAAAGACAAGAGAATTAATTTAAGCAACTTTTTCAAGCCACGTTTATCATATAGCCACATGAGCTTTGAGCATGTGATTTGGCCACGAAAAATCGTAAAGAGTGTGCCTTCTCAACCGATAAAGTTATGCTCAATCAAGACCAACACAGGAATAACTAAAAGGTTATTTATTTTTTTTATCATTTTACTTTTTATATTTTTTATTGCATCAGGGGAGGGGAAGGAGAAAGGGAAAGGGGAAAAAAATATTATGCTACCAATGGGTTTGAACCATCCACCTTTTAACGGTGGATTATCAGTAATGGAGTCAGGATTTTTATTATTTGATGTAAAATTTAAAAAAAATAAATACACAACGAAGCTAAGGAGATGCAATACATAATATATATACATAAAAATAATAGTTTTACCTACTTAAACAATATATTTATTCGATGAAGGTCTCTTGGAGCTATGTAGCTCCGGCACTATGGAAGGCAAGGAGCTCGTCAAGTGAGTTAACCTTCAACTATACTAAAAGGATTTTATAACCATTAGGATGCGATAAAAAAATTGAAATTATTTTGCCTTAAGTTACATATTTCATGTTGGTTATCCTGAAAATGAAAAATTATCTTAATATTTATTTCTCATTAAATTTATGTGACACAAATTTAGATTAATGGAATCATGACGAGTTTCCAATACTAAATCCCTAAAAGACTAATAAAGGATCAAAAGTAATTTCATCCTTTAATTTCCATTATTTGGGCATTAAAAAGTTGGGAGTGGCTCCCATCTTTATTTCTTTTTGTCCGCTTCCGTTATTTTGATTTGTTGGCGCAATAAATACGTTTACTAAGAATAACTTTTTCCCGCTAATCACGTCACTATTTCCTTTTATTTTCATATTACTCCCTTGTCATATTTTAACTGTCGCTTTATTTCAAAAAGTTTGTCCCACAATAATTACTAGGATTTCAAGATTAAATTTGTTAACTATTTCTAATTATACCTTTAAATATTAAAAATAGTAGTTCTTATTAATATCGTTCAATTCTCAAGAAGTATTTAATAGAGGTAACTTAATAAATTATATTTTATATTTTTTTAGATGAACATATAAAGAACTAAAACGACAGTTAAAATGAGACCGATGGAGTGTCATTTTCTTACTATATACCAGTACAAATTCCATAATTAGATGAACTGCTAACCTTCAATTAATGCTTTCAACCATCGCTATTTTCATTATGGATCTAATAAATCATCAGCTTGTTTAGCTGTCATCTTCTGTCTGCTATATAAGAATTTAACTGGACACCTTTTGCTGATATTGCTTTTGCAAAAAATTACTCATCCATGTAGCAAATTGATAAAGATATAGCGTGTGTTTTCTTTTCCACATGAATATTTATCACTTAATTATAACTAAATAAAAGTTAGGATTTAAGAAAATTCTGAATATACTGATGAAACATTTTATAATTCATTGTAAGAATCCATAATGAAAGAAAGACAAATAAAAAATGAAACAATTGTTTAAGCCATAAGATATGGACTATATGCTAACAGTAACAATAAAAAATTGAGTATAATCCCACGAGTGAGGTCTGAATATAGATTATTCTTTTCTAAATGAATATTTATCACTTTATCATAACTAAATAAAAGTTAGGATTTAAGAACAGTCTAAATATATTGATGTAACATTTTAAAATTCATTGTAAGAATCCATGATTAAAGAAAGATAAATAAAAAATGAAACAAATGTTCAAACCATAAGATATGGACTATATGCTATCAATAATAATAACAACAAACCGAACCGAAATTTCATGAGTGAGGCCTGGATATGGCTATGGTAGTGAATGTTAAACCTATAACATGCTATAACCAATAAAACCGTTTTAAAATTTTAATTACGGTTATTAACTAATTTGGTATATGTAAATGATACTTCATCAACAAGTTATTCTTGTTGCTTCTTCGTGTGCTTTCACGTATTTCCTCGCATAACAAAATATTTCAACGACACAATCGTTAAAGTAATAGATTATCACCTTAAATTATACCCAAAAAAAATAAATATTCTCATTTCTTTGACACGTCAGTCATATCTTTCCATAATCTCTCTTTTACTACTTCTAGAACACTGCGTGGCTCGAAAGGGACTATTGCTTCAACTGCAAAAAAAGGAATAACATGTGGATTCCCAAACTGGACGGCAAGTGCTTTTTTTTTTTAGCTAGAAGACAGTTACATAATTCACATAGCTTGATTTGTCATTACCATGGAAGAAATTAAGCCACACTGGGCAAAGAATTATCAACAAAGTAGAATAATGTTTCTTTTGTTGCTATAAATAAGATTATATCAGTAATGAGTCTTTGACGCTTCTTTCCTTCCTACTTGTATTAGCACCCGCTAAGATGTGCGGATTCTAATCATATCAAATATTTAAGTTATTTGAATTATATATAAATAATCTTAAATTTTAAACTTTCTCAGTAATTATAGATAATCATTGTATATTAAACACTACATGAAAAAAAATCAACCATTTTTTCTATTTTTCTTTTTTGATATCAATCTCGACGGTATCATTAAATCCTAAAAATAGTGAGAAAGTAAAATAATAACTCATATTTATGGCAAAACAATAAAATGTTGAGACTATGAATGACTCTTTGGATACGACTTGACTCTTTACTAATACTTGAACTCTTATTTTGTGCGTTGATATCTCTTAAAAAATATTTATTTTTTAAAATTTCAGTTTCTAAAACTTTATTTTTCAATAATAATTATTTTTATAATAATATAAGTGAAAATATTATCCTTAATTCAAAACTCATTTTAGTTGGCTATCTAAAAATTTTAAAAATTCTTTAGCCGGTGAATTTTTTTTTCCAGTATGACTCCATTTTGATATTTGACATTAACCATGTTAAATATATGAGTTATTTGAATTATATGTAAATAACCTTAAAATTTAAGTCTTCTAAATAATTATAGATAATCATTAGATATTAATTAAGAAACACTACATGAAAAAAGACTAACATTTTCTCAAATCTCGTAGTGATATAATTTTATTTTTGCACTATTCTCATTGGTGTCATTGGAACCTAAAAATAACCACAAAGCAAAATAATAACTCATATTTATGGCAAAGAATAAAGGTTGACACAATATAAACGATTCTTTGGTTACGACGTGACTCTTTTACTACGACTTAGCTCTTATTTGGTAAGACATTATCTTTCAAAAAATATTTCTATTTTGAAATTTCAATTTCTAAAACTTTATATATATTTCAATAATGATTATCTTTATAATGATACAAGTGAAAATATTATCCTTAATTTAAAATTTACTTTAATCGGCTATCTAAAGATATAAATGATTCTTTAGCCGAAATTTTTTTATTTCAGTATAACTCCTTTTTAAGTTTATCGATATCTCTAGCCACATATTTTGAATTTTTAATACCCTATATATAAAAAAAAAAAAAAAAAAAAAAAAAAAAAATCTTCGAATCATTAAATGTTAAATTAGTTGATTGTTATTATATAACATTGCATATATTATCTTAAAATTGCCAAGTAGTTTATTTTTCGACACCATACTTGGCTTAACCTCAATGCAAACTACTCAAATTGCATTTAAATTCAAATTCGAATATCATATCAGTTTGTTAGTAATAGTGATTTTTAAAAACGACACACAATGTAAATAAAAAAAAAATATTCTAACATTTTCTTATCTTATAATCTATGTATTTGAGTTGAAATAAATATTTGAAATCGATGAGATTAGTTTTCAAATTTTTTTATATTCAACAAAGATGAAACATAAGAAAAAACTCGTTGTCATCTCTTATTTCTGGTTTTTAGATCTTTCATACATTTTTTTCAATATTTATTTTCTTTTATCTTATTTTTATGTCATTCTTTCTTTTGTTAAAATAATAATAATTTATTTCACTATAAAAGAATGAGTTTTAATAGAAATTATCTACATAAGAACTTTATTTATATTTTTAGTCTTTGGTTGAAATTCTTTTATATTTTCTTTTGGCTTTATCTAATCAGCCTAAATAGGTTCTCATCCGATCACTTAAATTAAAAAATTGAAGGATGTGTAATATATGTATAATCCATATATAATATGTGTATAATCGTGTGTTGTCGGTATATCATCTATTTATATTAGCTATAAAAAGTAAACAATAAATATGGCCGGATATTTATGTAAATATTCCATAAGATTTCGTTTTTTTGAGTTTATCCATGATATGTCTTCTATTATAATAATTTTAAAAACTCTCTACTAATGTTCAAAAATATCTTATCTTTTTATTATCTTTGAAGTAGAAAAAAGTAAAGAGTTTTTTCGAAATAATTTATTTACATTTAAAAAAAATCACGCCATACCAATTTTTTAAAAAATATACTCTTTGTTACACTTGAAAATCGCTATAGAAACTATCAATTAGAAACCAATATCTCTCTTGTTGAGTTCGAGAAAAAAAAAACCTTCACATAATCTAATGATTCAAAACTAATATTCTTCAACGAAAAAAATATTATACTCTTGCAATATTGGCTTGACTGCAGCTAAATGAAGGGGTTTAAACTTATACCTTTCAATTCCTAGAATGTGCTAAATTGAAATTAATGATAGCAATTGCATAACTAAAGTTTTGTTATTTATTTGATGTCCATTTATACAAATTGACTCTTCAAACAAATATTCTTCAAAAAGAAAAGAAAAAAACAACTTTTTTTTTTTTTAATATTGACTGATTTGTGATGTTTCTTTCTCTAGCATGTATGTTCACTTCATTATATATGTAAGTAAACTTTTATTCGATTTTTAAACTCTTTTTTGTTATTTGGATAAATATAGATGTGTATCATATATATTATATTTATTTAAAAAGAAATTCTCTTTGTTCAAATCTAGCTACAGTGTTTTAAAGAATTATAATTATAGGGTTTTAAATGTGAAAGAGTTTTATAGTTATATGAAGTAGTTTTTTTTTGCCAAAGGCGAAGTAATATTTAAATAATTAGAAAAGATAACAAAAGTTCCTAACATGATTGCATATGATCATTAACCGAATTAAGTATGATAACATGATTAAAAAAAGATAAATTTTTATTTTAAATTTAAATTCGAATTTTAAAACTTAATCTATAAATTCAAAATTATCTTTTAATTCAAATTCAGTTTTTATATATAGAATAAAGTTACCATATACTATTGACATTTATTAGCTTGCCACTTGGCTTAACCATAATGTCAATTATATATGGTAACTTTATTCCTTTAATATATATAGAGATATAGATATATAGATTAGTAATCTACTAATCTACAAGTCCTGACAATTGGATCTTCCATAAATTATCAAGTGAGTAACCCCAACCATAAAACTGTGCAATGCTGGATATTTTTGCCAAATGACTAAGAAACAATACATTGACACTGAAATGTGCAATGCTGGATATTTGGTAAATTTTTTTTTTTTTTTTTTTTGGGGGGGGGGGGGCATGGATATGCAGAATTGTTTCTCGACTATAACAATTAACATGCCGATCAACCAAGTCTTGATTCTGATTCGGATGGTATTGTAGACCTGTAAATCCCATTAAAGATCTCTTTTGCATCTTGAGAATATGGTAAGTATGCAATAAGAAGTGGCAATTCAAGCTCATGCTTCAAGTAGGTGCATAGGTTCGTTAACTTTGGAGTATTATTTGTTGCATTAAGACGGCCAAAATACTTCCCAAGGATACGTTGATGACATTGACAACATCATTGTTGAGCTGAATATTAAGGGACACAAAATGGTGAGCAAGTTACTTAGCATCTCAAAATAAACGTTGGACCTCTATTCAGAAAAATACATACCCATTGAAATCCTTCTTTCTCTTGAAGTGAAGCACCTATTAGACTTTCGCCAAAGTTTGCTATCTGGGAGGCAATTACACATATAGCAGCCCCAGGTGCGTTAATCTGGAAACAATTCTTTTGGTAAGAAAAAAAAACTAAATACAGAGTGGACTGAATGGCATTGTATCTGTCATTAGCACAGGCAGTTAAAGCTAAAGATGTAGTGAACAAACATGCAACCGTGTATTTCTGTAGAAATCAATATACATAATCTCAGCCACTGAATTTTCATATAAAAACTTGAGTTATCAAGATCCAAACCACCACCACATGATTACCACTACCACTCCAGCCAGTACACCTTCATAGCATGAAAATCTCTGTAGGTTCACACGAATCCTAGAAGGGAAAGGAGAGGAATAGAATTGCTAACATAATGAAACCCCTTCAGTTGCTCTTTATAATACCATAAACAAGGTTCCAAAAGAGTACATCAATAAGTAAGAATATACAATAAAATCTACGGCAACTTGGAGGCTATCAAGAGTGATATAAGAATCACAACCATGTTCTATTGTGGCCAAGTTTGAAACGGATAGGCATACCTTGCCACATTGATTCCTGGTTTCAACATGCATACCATTGCTAATTTAGGGGTATAAGGAAAATTTCAACAACACAAATGTTAGCGAGCAAATGCGCGATCCTTCCTTTATCACAACCTCAAGAAATAAGCCAAAAGTCCCGTGAAAACATCCCCACTCATCAAGCCTAATCACCCCAATTATGGGAACGTGCTTCTAGTAGCCCGACACTTCATTCTACAACAAATATTCCCCCTCTAACATTTTCAATCTCCTACATTCCAAACTTTTCTTCAGCATTACCTATCACCTAATTCTTTTCTGGTCTCAACCTAGTCCGTTGTAGACCGACCTCATGGTACTAAAAAGTTAATCATATAACAGCACCATGACGCCAAAATTTTCAAAGTGACATTTTTGTTGTCATATTTTTAATCCTCTTATTGGCTAGTTACTAGTATCTCCAGATTATCCAAAAGTACAGAAGAGAAACCACAGCATAAGCAAAAGTTTCTCAAAACTTTGAATGATTCATGAAAGGCATACCTGACCCATTAGATAGCCAACAAATGAAAGGAGAACTGAAGCAAGAAGCCCCGCGAAGGTTCCCTCAGCACTCACAGCACCTTCAGTACCCCGAGGCACTATCTTGAATGTGGTGACAAGATACCTGCAATCGTTATGCAAGTACTCAGCAGACAATTCCTAAAAACACCATTCTGCTAATGACAGTATTGAACAGATAAAAGCGAAAAATGGTATGAGTTGCTCATGGTTTCTTTCCAAAGGAGATAACTTTCTAGCTAGTGCTATCCAACATTGCACGTGAACTACAAAGAGCAGCCTATCAAAGTGTTTAGTAACATAGCTGATCACAGACTTGAGATGAAAACTAAATCACGTAAAACTGCATGTTGCAATATTGACAGGCAATTCAACCGAATTATGACACTTTTCCAGATCCTTAGGTTTTCAAAGGACCAAATTTAGTTGACTCTTTTTCTTTTCATTTTAAATATAAAACCATGGTTTGTGTGCTTTTCAATAGTTCTACAATTAAGAATAAACGAAGCTCCGGAAACAAATAAAGTATGAAATCTCCAGTTTCTATGTAAACATGACACTGTTTTCAGTTGATAAAATTCCTAGTGATTAGCTGGAGGTGAAGAGGCTGTACTCACGTTGTTTTACCATATGCCTTTCCTATCTCGCTCGAGACAGTGTCGCTCAACTTAGTACAAAAACTGGCTACAAATGCAAGTTCCCACAGGCGAGTAAATGCCTCCCCACCAATTCCATTAATCGATAAAAATGCACAAACACAACCGGCTGCACTGGAGCCGATCACGCTTCCAGGTCCTCTCCTTCCTTTTCTCTTCTCTGCAACCCCTTGAGCCTCTTTCTGAGCCATTTTCACCTTAGTCGCAGCTGTACCCTGTTTGGTTTAATTTATTAGTCCAAGTTCCCTGACATCTTTTATAAGTAGGATTTATCAGTCTAAGCACGAGACAGTTTGCCTTGATAACATCCATCATTACATCCAGTAGAAAGACATAGCAGAAGTTATCTAGACGGTCAATGGTGCATTTTCTTTTCACTTTATGAAGTTCCACTGATCCATTAAGAGGGTGCATATTGCTCCTTTTTTTGTTACTTATTACTATTTACTATGACAGTATGACTATTTCAATACTCGTATTTTAATTATATCGACTTTTTTCTTTAATTAGACAACGAAAGAGCTATTTGCGAACAGTTGTTCATGATTGAGTATTTTACTTTCATTTTGTATTGATACATAATTTATCCAACCTACTATCTTCTCTCAGAGAATTAAATGGCAATATGTCATAAAACAATTATGTACAAAGTAGAATCCCTCAAACAACGCCGTAGGAATAAAGCATGTAAATGAAGTTCCACTAATCTATGAAGAGGGTGCTATTATCCTTTTTTTTCTTTTTATTTACTACTATGATGATTTCATTACTAGTATTTTAGTTATATTGACTTTTTTTTCTTTAAGTAGACACAGAAAGAGGGATTTGCAAGCAGATTCATGATTTGAGTATTCTAATTTCATTTTTGTATTGATCTGAAATATGTATAAACATTCCTACTATCTTCTCTTAAAGAATTAAATGGGATAAAACAATATGTACAAAGTAGAATCCTCAAAATAACATTGCACGAATTTAAACATGTAAAAATGAAAAAGATGAAAGTTTTACTTACAATAACGAAATATGTGGCAACAAGAAGAAACCCAGAAGACCCAAAAGCACGCCAAGTAAGAGTACCAAGCAGGAAAGCAGCCCCAATACCAGAAAGTGACAGACCAGAGACTAAAAGTGGAGAACCCAAAGTGAAGATAATTACGTTACTAAGCAAAGCAGATTGCCACGTAGGTGGTGAAGATTGAACCAATTGAATTGCTCTTTCAATAATTCCCAAGTCAGTCACTGATGCTTTGATCGATGATGTTTTTGACATTTTAATTTGATGTTTAGGGTTTAGAGTTGAGGAATGAGGAAAGTAGTTCAATGTGTTTTGGAGATTTGAGTTGAAAAACGAAAATTTTGGTTTTTGATAATGGAGAAGTAATGGGAGTCCCGGCGATGAACAAAGAGTTGAAAAAGCCATTTTTTTTAAGTTTACAGATTTTGACGTTAGATTCCGGAAACCGTGGAGTCGACTTTACTGGAGCCGAAGGCAGTATCTTGTTGGGGTAATTTCACAGACACCTGGGTTTCGCAAATGTGTCATTTGTACCCCCAAGAAATGTTATAGAACATATATTCTTGTAAAAAAAAATTGGAACTTTTTATTTATTTATTTATTGGGATTTAGTAAGCAAAATGAGAAAAGGTAAAAATAGAAGAAATGTGATAAATTGAGAGATGCTCCCTGCCTAATTGTAGGATTTGATGCTATCTAGTTTACCTACACACACTTGTAGATTGAATTTTCTTCTCATTTATTTTTATTTTAAAATATCAAACCACTTAATAAGTGTTGTCACATGTAATTTTTTAAAATTCTTCAGAGATTGAATTTTTTAAAGTTTATTGCATCTTAAACTATTACTACCTCTTATATCGTTTGCTTTTAAAAGATTAGAACTTGAAATACATCTACAAGTTACTAACAACGTTGATATCAAGTGATTATTTATAATTTTTTTATTTATGAAAAGTTTTACAATAATTTTTTTTTATAGATTTACTTATAAAAACGTTCATATTATTTTCCACATTTCGATAAAAATATTTTATTGTAAGTTACATTTTGAATTCAATTACATTTTAAAAATAAATAAATTCTATTACATTCTAAGATTTTCTCACGTCATGTTTCTCGGAGAGGTGCATTCGTCCTTCTAAAAACTGTAGTACATTAAGTGGAAATTTCAAACTTTAGAAGATCTACCTAATGCATCTTAGATGCTAGGGGGTTAGTTCTCTAGCTTTTAGTTAGATATCAAAGCACCCCAACCTTCACATTGATGAGTACCCAACTTTTGTTTGTATTTCTAAATATCTATTAAAATGTAAAAAAATGTAATTAATTAGGACACAAATTAATTAGGCGTGCACTGAATATTCTTTATTTTATCTTTTTTCTCTTTAATTATAACTTCTTCTTTTTTGGCAGTGCGCCTGAACCGCGATTCGCCGACACAATCGATCAACATCGCCGACGACCTAAGCTCTGTAAGTCTCTCTTCTCTCTTGAATTTACTCCAACAGTGCAAAAAAATAAGCGTGTTTGGATATTCAGTGTATGGATTTTTACTGACCATATTACTCTGTTTAAACTAATCTCATGTAAATATTATGCAAATACAACTAAAAAGTTTTAGAAGTTCCGTGTATTTTTTTTTTAAAGATAGAAATCTCTGAATGGCTAAATTAATCCTAGAAAGCATTCTGTATATTTTTTCTAAAAATTTAAACCTCTAAAAAGGCTTAATCACTCCTAAAAACAGTAAGAGTGTTAATGTCTAAAACATATTCTCTATTAATATCTATTGTAGACAAGGTTGTTGATAGTTCAGTTTGGGTCAGTTTTTCCATAAAAAGAAATCAAATAAGTAAGTTGGCTTTTTAAATATTGGAACAAAACCAAACCAATTAATTCGGGTTTTTATTGATTCGTTTTTTGTCGGTTTTTCGGTTATTTATCGATTTTTTTCTTAAATATGAGACATACACTACCAAACGCATATTCTGGGACTATATTTTCAACGTAACACTATTAAATCAATTGCTCTTTGAAAAATCTATCATTTACCAAGATATATTGATGATAATTTAATCAAATAGTGATGAATAATTGAAGTACTCAATTAAAAATCGATTATTTTTAGCATGAAATAAACTCTCGTACTTAGCAAAAAAAAATTACCAATCAAACTAGAATGTAAAGGCAAAGAATTAGATTATTATAATAGCAAAGAATTAGACTAAAAATACAAATGACTAATATGTACCATAAATTTTAAAAACTTTATATAAAAATATACATGTGTGTGTAATAATAAATTTAAATGGCTACTTTTATAGTCGGTTTGGTTCGATTTTTTCGGTTATTTTTTTGATTAAAACCAAAATCAAACCAAATTTGATCGATTTTTAAAATTCAAAATCAAAACCAAACCAAACCTAAAAAATATCTGTTTTTTTGGTCGGTTTGGGTCGATTTTTGATTTGGTTCGATTTTTCGGATTTTATGAACACCCCTAATTGTATATATAGATGTTTTTCTATCTTTTGTTAACTCTACATGGATCTGAAAAAGTGAAAAAGATCGAGACAATTTTATTTCATGTGATTTTAGATTTACTTCATCCTCTTTTTAACACTTTCATTCACTATAGTCTCATACCTGTAAACCAGTGCATATTTAAAAGAAGGCATACTGCCCACAAGCTTAATTAGCTAGACGGAACACTAACTAGCTTTAAGCAAACTAAAATTAGATGCACTAACTAGCTAGCTAGACGGAACACAGTTGATGAAATTTTAGTTTGTGCTTATGAATTTATCAACTCACCAAAACAATCAATATATTGTAAGGTACCTAATTTAATGACCAGCAAGGATTGGCCAGTTTTGTAAAGAAATTATGACAAACTTTCCTGTTGTTACTAAATTATTATTTGGTCCTTGGACCCTTATGGTCCGGCTCTAATCTTGCGCATAGTGGAAGCTTAGTGCACCGAACTACCCTTTTATTATCCTACTACTAGTACTTTTTACATAATTCTAGTTACTGACTATTTGCTTTATTATTTTCTTGCGACTCTCACCCAAACTATCTTCACTTAGTATTTCATGTTATCATGTTAGAAAAGTACAAACTGGATCCGTCTGACCGTCTCATCTTATTTTGACGCAAACTGTACAACTAAATGAGATTATGTTGTATGGGGAAGAACCGATTGCCATTACTGATAGACAATGAGGAAGTTGTGTTCCAATGAAATCTCCTCAGTAAAGGTCGTTTGGAGGAACCACTCGAGATAAAGAAGCTATTTGGGAGGTGATAACAGGTATCTCCTGAAATTAGTCGAGGTGCACGCAAACTGGTCCGGACATCACGGTAAAGAAAAAAGACAAGCTATTTGGGAGGTCGAGGAGATCATACAAGCACAATATTTGTATGTTTTCTACTCTGCAGGTATCTCACCTTTAAAATTCAGGATTGATTTTCTACCATGTATGTTTTATATGCTTGTTTTGTTTTGTGTTACTTGGTTGTGGAATTGATGCTATAGGTATACCTATATATGAAATTTTCGATTTTGAATAAGTTTTGAATGTGAAAGTTAGTATGAGTTGACTTGAATATAGTGGGAGTGGTTCAGTTGGATTCGTAGTTGCTCGGGAATATTAGTTGGAGCATAAAACCAGAAAAAATATTTCTGGTGCGTGATAACTTAAGGTTAATAGTTTGGTAACATTTCTATATTTGTCGCAAACAAGATAACTATTTTGATTAAGTTGATTAATCTTTAACCATTTTTCTAATAATCATTTATCTAAAAATTAACAACACAATGTCATAGTTATTAGTTTATAAGTTTGAGCTTTTAAGATAGAATGACAATTTGTTTTTTAAATTTTCTTGCATCACCATCCTCCTATTGAAACATAGCTATGCAACTAGAAGCAAAAGAAAACCTGTTATGGGTTCACTTTACAAAAATAAATAAATAAATAAATAAAAAGCAATAAATGCAAAAGATTATGCAAATTACTTCCTAAGTCCCTTTTACAGAAAAAACCTTAAATATCTCATAACACATTACATAGTCCAACTGAAGTATCTTATCATAATAAAACATAGTAAAATATAGTAATTCAGAATACATGTATGAACCTCTTATAAGAAACTGAATAACGAATGAAATGGTACATATAATCAAAGGCGAAATAACTTAAGTCTAGGAGTATTAAAGGTCCTACAAATCCAAGAACAAACATACAAAAAGTAGCCACCAGACATCTTTGTCCATGAATATATTCTCAACATTAAGAGCTTGAACGCCGGCCAGAACTGTGAATGCTGCGGAGTAATACACAGAAATAATGACGTTAGATTCCGGAAACCGTGGAGTCGACTTTACTGGAGCCGAAGGTAGGATCTTGTTGGAATAATTTCACAGACACCTGGGTTTAGCAAATGTGTCATTTGTACCCCCAAGAAACATATATTCTTGTAAAAAAATTGGAACTTTTTATTTATTTATTGAGCAAAATGAGAAAAGGTTAAAATAGAAGAAATGTGATAAATTGAGAGATGCTCCATGCCTAATTGTAGGATTTGATGCTATCTAGTTTACCTACACACACTTGTAGATTGAATTTTCTTCTCATTTATTTTTATTTTAAAATATCAAACCACTTAATAAGTGTTGTCACATGTAATTTTTTAAAATTCTTCAGAGATTGAATTTTTTAAAGTTTATTGCATCTTAAACTATTACTACCTCTTATATCGTTTGCTTTTAAAAGATTAGAACTTGAAATACATCTACAAGTTACTAACAACGTTGATATCAATTGATTATTTATAATTTTTTTATTTACGAAAAGTTTTACAATATTTTTTTTATAGATTTACTTATAAAAACGTTCATATTATTTTCCACATTTCGATAAAAATATTTTATTGTAAGTTACATTTTGAATTCAATTACATTTTAAAAATAAATAAATTCTATTACATTCTAAGATTTTCTCACGTCATGTTTCTCGGAGAGGTGCATTCGTCCTTCTAAAAACTGTAGTACATTAAGTGGAAATTTCAAACTTTAGAAGATCTACCTAATGCATCTTAGATGCTAGGGGGTTAGTTCTCTAGCTTTTAGTTAGATATCAAAGCACCCCAACCTTCACATTGATGAGTACCCAACTTTTGTTTGTATTTCTAAATATCTATTAAAATGTAAAAAAAAAAGAAATATATAAGAACAGGCAAGTCAAATCAAATTTGAGTGATTGCTTAAAATCGAATTCAATAATTTTAATGTGACTCTGCACCTCTTGCTTTATTTTGGTTGTTTGGGTTTACAGAAGACCTAATTTAGAGGTATGCAGTTGTATTAATTAAGTATATATTTTAAAACAAGGCCCCAGTGTCATTTGAAATCCCCTTTCAAATCCCAGTGTATGCTAATACTATTACTCAGCACAATATAATTTTGATTAAAGAAAGAAAAAAAATAAAGTATTTAACAGCATCTTGTTCTATCTTAAAAAGCAAAATACA